ATTCACTGATCTAGCACATTGTTATTGTGATCAAGAATTGCTTGGATATTGTAAAAATTTTATTCGAAAGAAACTTGATGAACAAACATTAGAAATTTATCTTCCATTAATTGTTGAATATCAACTTGATGAATTTAATGATAGACTTCGACAAATTACATTGGAAAATGTATTGCCTAATATTCAAATCGAATCAATTCAAGATTTTCTTCAAAATCATTTTCATATTCAATAATCATTTATAAACATTTGTTTAATAATTATATCAAATGATCCTTTTTGATTTTTTTTCCTTCCTAATAAAATTGATTGATTAACAATTTAAAAAAATTGATTAATGATTTTTCTGTGTTTTTTTTTGTTGTTGTTAAATTCTGACTTAAATTCGAAAGATGCGCGCCAAAAAGATTTTCAAATTAAAATCATCGATGTTATCCATCCATTTTAACAAAATATGTGAGAAAAATGTTTTAATAGACAACATAGTTTTTTTCTTTCTGTTGCACTCTTCATTCCGCATTTTTCTTGCATGATAAACATTCATTCGATATTGTTTTTGTTATTCTTAATGAGCTCGATTTTATTTTTAGTATTGCTTTTAGCGAATTGAATTTGATTTTTTTGAAAAAAAAATATTTGTCATAGGAAAATTATAAATTAATGGAAATTGGAAATCAAAACAAATCAAATCATCAGCACAACAATTATTGGAAGGATGTTGAAAATATAAACAAAACTGGCTGATGAAGTTTGAATTATGATCAAAAATGGAAATAAAATTGATCAGAATTTAGAAGATACAGAAAAACATGATGCCGATGGATTGGAAAAATATTTATCGTTAATATTATCAAGATTTTATGGACGGCTAAAATATTTGATGGAAAAAACATATATAAATTCGATCAAAATTAGCAAACGTTGGTTTTAAATTGATGGAACTGGTCATATTGGTGGTAATGGAAATATTGATAATTGTATTGTAATTTTGGTGTTTTTAAATGTGAATAAAAAGTGTTGTGTTTGATATAATTAACATCGATTATGATGCCCAAAACAGTTGATAAAATTGTTGATATTGATATATTTCAAGATGTTTTCGGTTCAATCGATAAGAATTTTATTAAATCAATCGTTTCGATTGCAAGTCTTTTTGAGGATGATGGCAAAAACTTTTTGATGATGACAAAAGATTCTACATTTGCTTATGGTGACCAAATTTGTAAAATGTTATCGTTAAAACATGATTCATCCAGACCACAACCAATTTCTTCATTGAATGATATGAAAATCATTCAAGTTGATTCTGGTGACAATTTTGTTGTTCTTCTCACTGATGATGGTCGTGTTTATCTAGCCAGTAATGATGATGTCTGGGATACGAAAAAAACATTTAAATTAATAACCGTCAGTAATAATGATGATCGATTCAAAATGATTGCTTGTGGAGAATCAGATTTTCTATTGTTGCGACAGGATGGTACTGTTTTCAAAAGTTTTGACAGCTCTAACGATTCCGAAAAATCTCGACCAAAACGTATTGAACCTGTTAAAGGTTTAAAAAATGTAAAACTTATTGCTTGTGGACAAGATCATTATTTTGCATTGACAAATAGAGAAAAAATTTATTCATGGGGAAAAAACGATTATGGACAATTGGGTCTTGGTGGTCGTTATTATGGTTCTAATCCAACATTTTTTCTATTTCCTAGTGATTCGATTAATAGTCGAATTAAAGATATTGCGCTTGGCGAGCATTTTTCCTTATTTTTACTCGAAAATGGAGAGCTTTATTTTTGTGGCCAGGATTTGACTAATACTGATATATATTCTTCACCAAAATTAGTTCTTAGCAAAGTAGAAAGAATTGCTACTTCAAAATTTAATAGATTTGCCTTAGCTTATGGTAATTCATCGTATTATGTATGGGGAAAAATTTACAAACATCATTGGCCTTCATTCGCTAAATTCAATTTTAAATTCAATTCATTTGCAGCTATTCTAGAAAAATTCACACCATTGCCCTTTACATTTGGTCTGACATCAACATTTTATCAACTTGAAGATTATAAGCATTCACTTCGAAAACCCGAAGAATCGATTCGTCTATTATTTGATAATCCGGATAATTATGATGTTGAATTTATCGTTGGCCAACAAAAACAACGTATTGTGGCAAGTAAATGCTATTTTTCTCTCTTTTTATAGCTTATCCGAAATCAAATCATTGTTATTCTTCTTAAGTAAAATTGATTGAAAAAGTTTTTTTTATTTAAAAAAAAATCGAAGGTCAAGAATGATTTTATCAAATCATTGCGTCTAAAAAATTTTTATCTAAATAAAAATTGATAAATGATTTTTTTTGTTGTTGTTGATTTTTGATACCTATTACCTATTACAAATTATACCTGTCTCTCAAATGGTATCTATGGATTAAAATATCATTTTTTTTAAATCTCGTAACACTTGAAAGTAATTAAGAAGTTTACATTTCTTTTTTTTTTTTTTTTGTTTTTTGGTTTTGGTTTTTGTTGGGTATAAAGCAGCATATTTCTGTGTACGTGGAATTCATTTGATCTTCTTTTTTGAACTCAATTTTCAATATTTTAGTGTTGCTTTTTGAACAAAGTGAATTTGAATTTTTGAAAACAATATTTTAACATCAATCATGATGCCCAAAATTGTTGATAAAATTGTTGATATTGATATATTTCAAGATGTTTTCGGTGCAATCGATCAAAATTTTATTAAATCAATCGTTTCGATTGTCAGTCTTTTTAATGATAGGCAAGAATTTTTGATGATGACAAATGATTCTACTTTTGCTTATGGTGAACGAATATGTAAAATGTTATCATTAAAATTTGATAAATTCAAACCACAAAAGATTTCTCTATTGGATGATATGAAAATCGTTCAAGTGGATTCTGGTGACAATTTTGTCGTTATTCTCACTAATGATGGTCGTGTTTATTTAGCCAGTAGTGATAATGCTTGGGATACGAAAAAAACGTTTAAATTAATAACCGTCAGTAATAATGATGATCGTTTCAAAATGATTGCTTGTGGAGAATCGGATTTTCTATTGTTACGAAATGATGGTATCGTTATTCAAAGCATTACGACTTACGTTCCTAATTCAAACCGAAACGGACCAAAACGTATTGAAATTATTAATTGTTTAAGTAATGTGAAGCTTATTGCTTGTGGTGGTCACAGTCATTATTTTGCATCGACAAACAGAGAAAAACTTTGTTTATGGCAATATACTTCTGAGCCAACATTTCTTCAAATTTCTAGTAATTCGATTAATAATCGAATCAAAGATATTGCGTATACCAAGGATTTTCCCTCAATTCTACTGGAAAATGGGCAACTTTATTTTTATAAAGAGGGTATAATTTTTGGTGAGAAATATTTGTATGTTGATCATGTTCCTTCACTAAAATTAGTTCTTAGCCAAGTAGAAAAAATTGCTACTTCAAAATATAGCGAATTTGTATTAGCTTATAGTAATTCATCGTATTATGTATATGGGAAAATTCACAAAAATAATTGGTCTTCATTCACCAAATTGAATACTCAATTTGAATCATTTGCAGCTATTATAGAAAGGTTCACACCGTCGCCCTTGACATTTGGTCTAACATCAACATTTTATCAACTTGAGGATTGTAATCATCCACTTCCCAAACCCGAAGAATCGATTCGTCGATTATTTAATAATCCGGATAATTATGATGTTGAATTCATAATTGGCAAAAAACAACAACGTATTGTGGCAAGTAAATGTTATCTAAAATCGGTTTCAGAATATTTTAGTAAAATGTTATCGGGGAAATGGCTTGAAAATGATCGTATAATGATTGATACATATTCCTATGATACATATTATTCATATCTAAATATGTTACATTGTGGTAATAAAGATTCAATCAAAATCAATGCAGACAATATTGGCGAATTCACTGATCTAGCGCATTGTTATTGTGATGAGAAATTGCTTGGATATTGTAAAAATTTTATTCGAAAGGAACTTAATGAAAAAACATTAGAAATCTATCTTCCAATAGTTGTTAAATATCAACTTGATGGATTCAATGATAAACTTCGACAAATTACATTTGAAAATGTATTGCCAAAAATTCAAAATGAATCGATTCAAGATTTTCTTCAAAAACATTTGCATCTTTAATAATCATTTATATACTTTTTTTTGACTTATCCAAAATCAAATTATTGTTAATTTTCTTCAATAAAATTGATTTAAAATAAAAATTTTATCAAATCTTTATAAAAATATTTTAAATGTAAAACCTTATGTACGTTGAATAAAAATAATGAATTTTTGTTTTGTTGATTTTCGATACCCATTTTCGATTGTTTTTGGTCGCTCAATCTCAATGGCTGCACAATAATCGCGATGCATCGGAAAAACAATCGAAAAATATTTCAAAGCAACAACTGCAGTGTGTGTTTACAATGTAAATTTTTTTCTGAGTGTTCTGTGTGTGTGAGTGAGTGTGTGCGGAATTCATTCGATCTTCCTTATTTTTTTTTTTTGTTATTTCGTATTGTGCTCATTGTTTTGTGTTGTTTATAGCAAATTGAATTTGATTTTTGACTCTTGAATTTGAAAAAAAAAATTCTACAACAATCATGATGGCCAAAATTGTTGATGAAATTGTTGATATTGATATATTTAAAAAAGTTTTTAGTGGAATCGATAAAAATTTTATTATATCAATCGTTTCGATTTCCAGTTTATTCGATGATGGAAAGAATTTTTTATTGATGACAAAAAATTCTACTTTTGCTTATGGTGGTCGAATTTGTAAAATGTTATCATTGGAACATGATTCATCCAGACCGCAACCAATTTTTTCATTGAATGATATGAAAATTGTTCAAGTAGATTTTGGTAACAACATTGTCGTTCTTCTAACTAATGATGGTCAAGTTTATGTAGCCATAGATTATGATGAGGATGAATGTCAGGATGTATCATTTGGATTAATAAACGTCAATCATAATGATGATCGTTTCAAAATGATTGCTTGTGGAGCATCGGATTTTCTATTGTTACGAAATGATGGTAAAGTTTTCAAAAGTTTTGATAGCATTTATAATTCCGAAAAAGCTCGACAAAAACGTATTAAACGTGTTGATGATTTAAGGAATGTGAAACTTATTGCTTGTGGTCACAGTCATTATTTTGCATTGACAAATGGACAAAAACTTTTTTCATGTGGAGCCAACAAATATGGACAATTGGCTCTTGCTAATCGTAAAAGTGTTAGTAAGCCAACATTATTACAACTTTTTGGTGAACAATCAATCAAAGATATTGCAATTGGCAAGTATTTTTCCTTGTTTTTACTCGAAAATAAGAAGCTTTATTTTTGTGGCATCGATTTGAAAAACGATATTGGAAATAATAAGGATCGTGACATAATTGTCTCACCAAAATTAGTTCTTAGACAAGTAGAAAGAATTGCTACTTCAAAATCTAAGAGATTTGCCTTAGCTTATGGTAAATCATCGTATTATGTATGGGGAAAAATTTACAGACGTCATTGGCCTTCATTGGCTAAATTCAATATTCAATTCAATTCATTTGCCGCTATTGTAGCCAAATATTCACCCTCACCTTTTACATTTGGTCTGACATCAACATTTTATCAACTTGATGATTGTAAACATTTACTTTGCAAACCCGAAGAATCGATTCTTCGATTATTTAATAATCCGGATAATTATGATGTTGAATTTATCATTGGCAAACAACAA